ATATATATATATATATATATATATATATATATATATATATATATATATATATATATATATATATATATCACAATGATATAAACTGAAAAGGTTTTAAACACAGATCGAGAGGTCAGCAAGCGCACATATAAGTAAAGAAACAAAGATATGGTTAGACAGTGGCATGAATACTTGAGTTATATTGAAGCGATTAGATATTGTTTGTAAAAGAAGCATGTGTGTAATACAGATAAAAACCCCACTAGATTGAATAAATAAGAAATGACAGAAACTCTGTAAGTAAAAAGCTAGAGAAAAGAGACAAAAGAAGACATTGGTCGACAAAGAAAATTAGATTAACTAGGTTTGCTTTCTTTCCTGATGACAATTATTGCGAGAGTTAAATTTCGTACCATGTAATTAAACCACAACAAGGACGTATACCTGTAGCGACCTATAAGGCCCAGTTGTCACTGCATATCATGGCTGTCATAACATGACATTCTTACCTATTCGGACCTATATCGACCTATTTCAAAACCCTGAGTTATGTACAGACAAACAAGATCAGATTTGTCTGTCTGGATACGAATTTAACGGAAAAGTGCATGATATCGAAGATACTCTCAAATTTTATTACATACATACATATAGACACACATACAAACATATCTACACAAATACCTACATACATATGTATACAATTTATAGCTTTAATATGATCATTTTACAATAAACGCGACTTCTATACGATATTTAGAAAATTTTAAAGATAAATGCCTCTATCCAGTTGTTGCATTATTAATCTCTTTGGTCAAGTGCCATTACCGGGAAGCTATATAAATTTATGTCTATATTTGTCAATAATATTTTGTTTAAAAAGATTACACTTTAAAGTAAATGCCTGAACACACACACACACACACACACAAACATACTTAAACAGAGAGTTGTTTTAAAGATACAAAATGAATCTTTGTTTTATATGCCTATATCAACACAATTTTAATTCATTTATTTGCAATATTTCTAGTTATTTGTTCTGGAGCGAATAAAGCAATGAACTGCACTTTTTTAAGTTATCTTCTACTTGGACTATGAAAATGAGATAATTTTCTCTTTCACTTTATCTTTGTTGCTATCATAAAGTAAGGTATAAACTACATATACCTTTTTTGTTTCTTTTATAGTTTATATAAAATTTTTAAGTTTACATTCAGAGCAGAGTTCACTTTTATTGTCATCACTTGTATAATTTCAAATGTTTAGTTTGATTTATTTTGAACTTTTACAACTTTGAAGTTCCATTAGGAGACTGACTAATGATTCTTGTTATATTTAACATATCACATCATTAAATTATAAAGAAGCATTGCCTATGAGGAATATTTAAGTATCCTCTCAATTTTTTGTTAGGTTATTTGACGCATCAAGACATTTTTCTTCGATATAAAATTTTCAGTGTTTACAATTTTGCGCATTTTTTCAACAAACAAGATAAAAATGTTTCCTATTTAATTCTTTAAATTAATTTTTCAAATATAAAAGGTCAATATACTTGACCAATTAGTTTGAAAGTGATTTTAAACTTTGTGTGTAAAATAATGAGAGAGACATTGTGAGAATTTGACCAGGAATAATATTTTGGATATAGATGTTAATATTCAGAGGAAATGTCATAATACAATTTCGAATTACTGTATGTTTCATAATTATTAGGTTCTAAAACAACGACAAAAACAACAATGATAAAGACGATTACAATAATAATAATAATAATAATAATAATAATAATAATAATAATAATAATAATAATAATAATAGGTTAAGGCGCTTAGCTCATATTTCATTTGACTGATGTAGCCTATTATGTGTTACAGTTTCATTATAATCAACAAAAACGAAACAAATTTGGTTGCTTTTTAATGGATCTGGTTTCTAGGTTGCGTTATCTGTTGGATTCAAGGTCTTCAATTGTTTAAAAATTTCAGAAATCTTGGTCATCCTACTATGACCTTGGAGCTCATCGCACACAGTATGCTGACTAAAGTCACAGTAATAACAAAAGTAGCTGAACAGTTTGAGAAGTTAATTTCAAGATTATACAATAAGATGACGACTTCATTATGACAGAGATAAATTAGGCATATTATTCACGGATTGTATTTACTCCACGGTCAGATCCATTCTCCCTTCAAACCCGCGCGCCATGTGATATCAAACGATATGCTATACTACATCTTGAAGGAACAAAGTCCCCCCTGCCGATTACCGGTCTCTGGGTCAAATCCATGGGAACATAATAGCCTTTGATAGTATTGTGGATCATTGAACGATGAAGAAATAAGAACAATTCTTCCCTATACTCCGAGGGTTTAAATCAGGATAAAGGGCTCTATTAACCACCTTACTGGTATGTTCTTACTGCAAATTGTTCATCAGAGGATACGCGAAGCCCAATTTATTGCACAAAGATAATGAAGTGTAAAAGGAATTACTGCTGTATCTTGAAGAATTCAAAATGCGTGAAAATATAACCAAAGCCGTTACCAATAAAGACCCAGTACGAAACAAACACGATAACAAGAGAACATAACGTAGAATATAAAATTCAAGTGACTTTAACAAGGACACAGTCGTATTAAGAAAAAAATTAAACAATAAAGAAAATGATATAAGTTTTGAAGTAAACTGTCACGGCTGTGCATCAGAGACATATCAAATTTCTGGTTTAGTTGAGCCAAGACCGCTTTATTTTTTTTGTCATTGGACTTTAGTAATTGTTTTGTGATAAAATCAGAGTAGATTATTTATTTTGAGGATACAACACGACAGCGAACCAAGTCTGGTCTGACAATCACACCCTGTACTCTTATTCTCTTAAAGTTTAACAAGCCAGCCACTGAGCTACATCGCCTTAAAGTAAAAGCGATATTGATAACCACGTGACAACGGACTGCACAATATATATGCAACTACATCAGAATAGTTGACTTTGATTTAAATAGGAGGAATTTATGACATAACTGTATTTGCTATGCAACCATCACCAAAAATGAAGACCATGAGATTCCTATAGTTTCATTACATTATTTCGCATGCCAGAATTAAAGCAGTTGTTTTTTTATGCTGATATTTGCATCTTTGTTATAACCAGGAAAATGACTTTTAAATAGATTTTAGCCACATTTTATGTAACCATATACTGTGACTATTTTGTGAACGAAAGGCATCACAAAGCACACATTTAGAATTTAAAAAAAATTAATTGTAGTTGTGTGCAATTTGTTTTTCAAGGACCGCAAGTTTGACGGACTAATCATATTTGAGAGGTTCGTTAGTTATATGGTAAGTTCCATTTTTAGACGAGACATATTTATTTATGGCCCTATCATTTTGGGTCGTGACTACAATGGTTGACACAGACACAAAAGTTTGGAAATTAGCCTAAATATCAAGGACGAAGAAATTAATAATTTGCTATTCCAACATTTAAATATTTATTAGCAGTCTGTTGCAGCCTAGAGTATAAAATTGCACAGCCAGTAAATAGTAAAACATATACTGTCATACTGGAGATACAATATTCTAATATGTGTGACATCCTTTGATATAAGACTAGCAGGTCCGAATTGACACTTATCTGATTCCCGATAATCCTTGGCAGTACCAGAACCAAATAAAAATACGCCGGCGGTGAGCAGTAGCTATAATTCTGAGTCTGGAGATCTTGATATTCTTTAATTTTAGACCGAAAAATACGGACAACTGTGCAGAAATTCGCAACGTTTTGCACTTATAAATTTGCTTTCCAGCATTCAACCCACTGGATCTGAACTATTAAGTACAATCCCTGCTTTCGGTCTTTAAATTCGTGGTTTGTAACAAACAAGAAATACACGAAACTTAGTATATCAGGAAAAATAATGAAATTCACATTGTAACATTAGCTACTACGTTATTGCTGTCGCTACACCCAATAAAATAATCTAACTAAAGCAGTCATTGTCACCATTGTAAAGAGTGATGTTATCTAGAAGATTCCAGCTCAATGATGATATCTTAAGGCATACACTAAATTAATTTTGACGCCTCCCCCATTGGAGAATTAGAATGATAGAAACCAAAATGTTACCTGTCAAATCCCATTAAATATTACTGACACATTGAATATCTGATCATATGTAGGGTACACACAGTGGGCCGCTTATTTCAATTTTAATGGCCTTGTAACATGCCTCTGAGTCGCAGATAAAAAGCCAAATATATTCATGATGTTTTCGTAGGCTTGAAATTAGAACAATGGCGAGGTCTCTAATTTATTGCATAGTGGCCGATACACTATGACTATCACCGTTCACATAAAATAAAATCTTAAAGTACCTATTTTTAGAAACTAGGTGATAAATTGACATAAATGTAATAGTTAATTTATATACAATCAATAAATCAATGATAGGATTTGAAAGAAAAAAATACACCATCCCAAAATCAAATACAAAAGTCTCCCCACATCAGATATAAAAGTTGGCATGAAATAAATAATGTTATCCTGCATTCTGTGATATAGCAAATGGAATCACTACCTACCACAATAATGCAGCATACGAGTCGTTGTCTAATACAACTACAAGTTATCATGTCACGATTCATATTGAAACACGACATCCTTCGAGTAACCTACCGCTGGATAACATGCAAGCTCTTAACATCAAAATCATTAATTTTGACGTTTGCAGTCTGAGAGACTGGTTAATATAGTTGCAAAGTTCTCACTGTCCAGTCACATTAACCCGTATTGAATCGCGGCATACGCAGTGCTACACGTCGTATACAGTACTATAGACAATGAAGTGCTAATTCATTCTTGGTAATCTAAAGGTTCACTTCGGGTAAGACCAAGAGTAGCTTCAGATATGACTGTAATCTATATAGGCTTGCTACAAAAACTATAACATTATGGTACATTCTTGCAAAATGAATGGGAAAACGACATTTGTCATCCTAAGAAAACCTCACACGACCGCTCCGGTGGCAGAGTGGCAAAAGAGTCCGCCTCGGAAGCGGGAGGTCATAGGGTCGAACCCCGGCCGAGTCATAGCAAAAACTAAAACCTGGTACTAACAGCTGCCTCGCTTGGCGCTCAGCATTAAGAGGTTAGTGTTAGGACTGGCTGGACTAGTGTCAGGAAAATCTGATTGGGTGGTTCATCATGCCACATGTCTAAGGCATGATGCCGAGTGCTAGACATCATTATAGACTGTCACACTGCAAATGACATCGTAGCGATATGACTTAAAAATTGTTAAAGCTACGTTAAAAATATAAATCACACACACACACACAAACACATAAACACACACAACATCACACGAAACACAGCTCGATAAATACCGATGTGGTGAGATGCACATGCATTTCGAAACACAAGTAATTTAATCAGGTTCACTGAGTATAGGATATTTCATTCCCGGCAACAGTCCCCGAAAACTCCAAAAGTTTATGCAATGGTTTTATGCTGCGTTAGTTACATTTTATGTCATTAGGAATTAACCTCGAGCTACAACACTATCACACGGGTTAGATAAAAAGATTCATTGTCTAACATACATTATCTTGTCAACTTTGCATCTGTAAAGCGAAATCCTAGCATAAACGTGTCATTTGATAACTTGCATTTAGCAGAAAAGGGAAACCAAGCCTAATGCTTCCTTATGGAAGAAGGTGAGTGATCGCAAGTAAAAATGTGTTAACTATTCAAATACAATGAATATCATTGACATTCAGTACAAGCAATGCCGAGTCAGGTATATACAAAGGACCGATTATTGAATAATTTAACAATCTCATGTGTACATTTAATATCTATTTGAGACGCAAACCAAAAGCAAACAAGATATGATCACAAACTCAAGATTCTTTGCAATGAGAGCATGAGTCTCAACAAGAAAAATAGAACACAAAAGAAACCCAAACAAACCATGCAAGATAGAAAATGCTGTAATTGCTGGAAGAAGTTGACAAGTCACAGAAAAGCTTCAAAATTATTTATAAATCCTCGAGAGACTCCTAGACATTTCAGAGTAACAAATATCATACTGCATTTTGGAGGTAAGAAATTAAAGCAACGTCTACCGTCACACAGGTGGCCTATACATCTCAATATATTGCCGAAAAGAGATATTATAGAAAAACTTTCGAATCGACGACTCGTTCCTTGGGATTGTCAACATTTGATTCAGAGGCATCTCCTTTGGAAAAGTGGGACAATAACAAAGAAGTGTCTAACCGTATTAAATGCGACTGACATCAAGTATGTGCATTGTTACACTGGATATATACAGTAGATTTCTAATTTATTCCTGACGTGAGTTCCAAATATTTCTGATATATAGATCAGATGTAACGTTTTACATGATTCTTAGGCTTGTGATGAGAACAAACCGTAACTTGCAATTTATTTCTATGAACAACGTTAGAAAAAGGAGATCACCAATCAAGTTATATCGTATCATACCGGATACTTCATTTTCTAATATAAGTTGTGTGGGCAGTTGAGAAGGTTTGTTTTATCATTCATGTAACAGACATTCGCACAAACCTATTTTGAACGTGTCAGACAAAATCCTGACTATTAAAAAGTGTTTTACTTAGTGCTAAGTGAATGAATGTTTTTATTTATATCTATAATTTTCTTCGATAGCAAAGGTTTCGATATATTTACATATTCTCACGTTACCGGCTCCATCCGATATTTCGTGCTTTGTACTATTTGCATATATTGGATTTCACGACCGATCCTCCTTTGCCAATGCATTCCATGAAATTCATAGACCCGAAGCACTGAAATATTGGATTGAACAACTAAGGTGTAGATAGGTTAGCATATAGGAACCTTGACTAGCGGAGGTGATTTACAATGGCAGACCGTTGTCTTTTTTGAGCTTATTGACAGACGAAAATTAAACAGAAAGATGCCAGTCCCATATCTCAGAACATTGTTTTGTTGGTTCATAATATAATTGCGTTATACTGTGGTACGTATCGAACCATCCGAGGCTATTATAGACAGGGCGTCAGAATGTGTGTATCACATTTTTATTCCATATATCGCATTAAAGACACAAGTAATATAGTTTAAAGTGAAACTGATTTGCCATCTTAATTATACAACTAGCAGTTTGTTGAAAAAACAAAACAAGATTCATTGTAAGGTTAACTTTGACGGGACTTTGGTTGTACATATATAAACTTATGAGATGAAATATAAAATGAACTTTAAAACTTTATAATAAAAATGTTAAAGATTCTAAACTTTAAATGATGATATGATGTAACACTGGCGACTAGAAAGCGAGATGTTTTGCTCTACCTACCTACCTACCTACCTATCCATCCATCCATCCATCCATCCATCCATCCATCCATCCATCCATCCATCCATCCATCCATCCATCCATCCATCCATCCATCCATCTATCCATCTATCCATCTATCTATCTATCTATCTATCTATCTATCTATCTATCTATCTATCTATCTATCTATCTCTCTGTCTGTCTGTCTGAAACAAATCCCACGAGGATTCTTTAGTAAAGAAATTACAGAGTAATGAATACGCATTCACTTAAATTACCAAAACAAAATAAAAGATAACATGAAGCAAGTCATAATTTAAACAAAATAATTAATATAAGTAGACAGATACAACTGATATTGCTATTTGTAAGAACGGTTACACTGAAGACGACAGCCATACATAAGCATAATCACAACAAGCGGTTACAGTAAACGATTTTGAATCAGGTCTATTGAGACAGGATTAATAAGATAGAAAGAAATATAAACATTTATCATTTACAGGCAATCTTAAGTATCAATTCGTCAAAGAAAATATAAATCATTTTCTGAGATAGCCAGAACATGTTTGAATCTAAGCCATGATCTTCTAAGTAATTAAATGAAAAGTGTTTGGAAAGAGTCAGGGGTCATTTTAATATATGATATAGTATGTATCATGATGAGTTCTAAAGATAATCAAATGACTTTATATTCCGTCCAAAACACCGCATCAGAAATGTCTAACTCTCTTTCCTCACCTTAAAACCGTTTTTGTTGAACGGTAAAATAGGAGGAATTAAAATGACAGTTTTACTTTGGCGATGTTGGTATCGAGGAAATACACTGCTTCCACTGATCCATGCCAAACATTTCGTACTCTCAAGACGCGGTTATAGCAAAGCAATTATCTTCCCTTTGTCAGTCGCATTAATTCTAATAATATTTCAAAAGAGTGTATCAACTGAAGACAAACCAAAACATTAATGAAAATTATTAAAGTGACATACAGCTTCCAGTAATGTGCATGGCGTCCGATGAAACTGGAATAAAGTGCATCAGTACCAGTATCCATAGCCGTAAGGGTACATAACAACCCAAACTCATATTAAAGTGCCAAATATGGAATAAAGTAATAATGGTTTTGTATCTAGTATATAACTATATCCATCTAGCTTGCCTTTTACATCAGCTGTAAAGACAATTGGTACAACCTCAGTAAAGCTAGAAACTGGTTATGTAACAGGTTGCTGCTATAACGATGCATGCAGGCTACAGCTGTGCGAAGCACGAATAGACCAACTATGGATCGAATGTCTGAGGCAACTGGAGCTGTTTTCTTTTGTAAAGGAGCTTGCTGAACATGCAATTATATTTTAAATTCTGCACAGTAAACTGGTGATTCCTTCATTACTTGGGTCTATAAAACCATTTACTCAAAATATAAATTTACTTTCCTTCCGGATGTATTAAATATTAATCCATTTGGTCTGTGAAAAGACGATTTGTCTACATTTTAGGAGGAAATAAAAAACAGCAATAAGTCCAATTTCAAAATAAAGAAGACGTATTTAACTACAAGAGATTACTTCCATGAGGAAATAGGCCCGACACTGTTTACTTACTATCATATTGTATATACTTTACACCTGTTTCATTTCCTTGTAGATTTTTCATTTGTTTGTTGGGTTTTTTTTGGGGGGGGGTCAAATATGATATCAGGCATTAGATTTATAAGGAACATTTCAGATTAGCATATCAAGAGTATCTTTGAAAAAAATTAGGTGTCAATAATTGTCAAAGACAAATAGACATTAGTCTGGATAATTCTTTAACAAAGGTTACATAACAGATGTAGGTACAGTGCACTTCCAAAGCAAACACAACACAACAAAACAAAAACCCCAGACAACTAACGAAGCTTTGCAGTCTTTGGTAGCATCTGTCTGAATCATTTTCTTTTACGACATTCAATCGCATTCGTATGTATGGCATCTGCATAATGTCATTTTTGACTAAATATTTTGTGTTGTACCTCGATAGCATTCAGTCATTAGTACCGATACAATCATGAGAGTAGTAAAGGAAACGATACAAAAAATAGGATACAATAAATAAGTAAAATTTTTAACGAAGCAGACCGTCAGTAAGCACAGATAGAGTCAATACAAACCCCATTTCCAATGGCAAGTCCTAGTTTAAATGGCTACTAAAAGCCTAAAAGTGTGACCTTAAAATTGGATAACCATTAAAATCGTAAGCAAACACAATAAACTAGGCCAGCTTTTGCCAGCAGTGACCATCCACGTGTACACCTTACTCCAATCCATGATTTTCCCGTCATTCAGCCGTACAAAAGCATGTACACAACAGGGACACTGGAGTAGAAGTAAACAAGAAATAATAAGGCTTTAAACGAAAAGGACCTAAGAATGTGAGTTGTCTGTCCGTGGATACTTTTGTTTTCCATTGCATATTTTTACTTTACATTTTAATTATAAAAGTATTCCAGTTTTATATATATATATATATATATATATATATATATATATATATATATATATATATATATATATATGTGTGTGTGTGTGTGTGTTGTCAACAGCTAATGTTGTCTTAAATGCCTAACATCGTTGACAAACCTTTTTTCTCACTTTGTAATTCACAATTTGAAACATATCGTTATCTGTAGGTCTAAAACTATCAGACAGTTTGTTATAGAGATTATGTATTTAACAAAGAAAGATGTCTTTTGTAAGG